ATATATAAATAATTAATTAAAGAAGAAAAGATTGTTAAACAAATAATAATGATATATGTAATAATAATAGTAATAATACAAAATAATAACAATAACAATAAAGTACCAATAATATTAAGAATATTATAATACAATATAAATTGTATGTACAAATCATAGATGATAATTAGATATAATAATAACATAAAATGTAACATTAATAACACAATAATAAATAAATATAAGATTGGTAAATAATAAATAAAATAAAAATCAAACCACAAGACAACTATAGTACAGAGAGAAATTATAAAGAAATACACTCCAACAATATATTTTTAAATTGAATTCTGTTGAGCAGTAAAAAATTCGTAACAAGTGGATATTTTTTCTTTAACTTTTTTGTTAATGCAGGAATACACTGGTTCCATTGAGAGATACATTGTTGTTTTATGGAAAACTTACCATATTTGATTGTGCTGAAAAAAGAATAGTATAGCTTACTATTTTCTGTATTCCTGGTGTGATGATTATGAACTTCGTTTGTTTTAATAAAAAAATTTGAAAAAGGGCTTGGTAGTTTATTTTGGAGAAAGTCAAACACAAAAAGACAATTGTAAAACTTTACAAGATTATGGAGTTTTAGGATTTTTAGTTCAGAAAATTTTTTTTCGATATCAGATCTCATTGGGGAAAAGGTCATTATTCTAATAGATGCGCGTTGTAAACTAGCAATGTTGTTAAGTAAAAAGTTTCTTTTTTGACCCCAAACAATACAACAATAGCAAAGGTGAGAAGAGAATAAAGAAAAATAAATCATTCGAAGAGTTTGGATAGGAACATAGTAACGAATTAGAGAAAGCATACTGTTAGCTCGTGTAAGTTTTTTTTTTAGATGATACAGTTGATTATACCAAGATAGGTTTTCATCAAGATATATTCCAAGATACTTTATATATTTTGATGGAAAAAGTTTTTTACCGTTAATTTTAATTTTAATATGATCAATAGTTTTTTGAGGGGAATGAAAAATAATGTATTCAGTTTTATTGACATTCAAGGAAATACGGTTACTATTTAACCAGTTACATAAGCGATGAAGATCTTGATTAACTTTTTTACAAATAGTCGTGAGGGATTTGTTGATATATAAAAGATTGGTATCGTCAGCATAATGATGTATCATAGAATTTTTTAACGAACAAGATAAATCATTTATATATAATAAGAACAACAACGGTCTAAGTACGGAACCTTGTGGAACGCCATATTTAATAACTTTATGTGTGGATTCAAATCCATTAATTGAAACAAACTGAGTGCGATCCGTAATATATGAAGAAAACTAATGATTAGCAATACCACGTATTCCGTAGTAGTTTAACTTTTTTATTAGAATATTGTGATCAACCGTATCAAAAGCTTTTTGAAGATCTATGAATACACCACAAGCAAAAGAACCACTGTCAATTGCACCACGAATCATTTCAGTAATGCTAATAAGAGCGTGGGAAGTGGAGTGATTTGAGCGAAACCCAAATTGTCGAATATGAAAACAAGCAGAATTATTTAAAAAGTTGTAAATATGAGAATACATAAGTTTTTTTAAAAGTTTGCTGACATTTGATAATAATGAAATTGGTCTGTAGTTATTACGTTCAAGTTTTGAGTCTTTTTTATGAATTGGGATAACAGAAGCAGTTTTTAAAATATCAGGGAATACACCGGTTGTGAATGACAGATTAAATAGTTCAGAAAGTACAGGAGAGATATCATTTGCAAGAGCTTTAAAAATAGGTATTGGAATGCTGTTAGGTCCAGAAGCCTTGCTGTCATTAAGAGAATGAATAATCGATAATACTTCGTTTTTGTCTGTAGGTTTTATGAACATTGAATTAAGATTAGGATTTTTAAGATATTTATTAAAGTCAGTATTGGATGAGTGGATCTTATTCTGTAAATCTTCCGGAACTGAAACAAAAAATGAATTAAAAGATTCCGAAATTTTAATAGGGTCGTGTATCATGGAGTTGGTAGAAGATAAGCATGAAGGAGATGAGTTAACTCTCGAACTAATGTTTAAAAGGTTCTTAATACCATTCCATGTAGATTTCAAATTTTTGGCATTGTCAGAGAAGAACTTAGAGTAATGGTTCTTTTTACTACGACGGGTGAGAATAACAAATAAGTTTCTATATGCTTTATAAGATTTTTCTAGATTGAGTTTGTTATTAGGATTCTTTGCTTTAAGAAATTTTTTAAATATTTTATTTCGCATTTTAATAGAAGTCAAGATTCCTCATGTTATCCAAGGTTTGAGAACCCTTGATAAGCAACGATTGCTGACTTTTTTCAATGGTGCATGTTTATCTAAAAGAGAATTGAAACTTGAGAAAAACTCTTCAAATGACTTATTAGTCTTACCTTCGTTGACATTAATTACATTAATCCAGCTAATTTTTGAGAAATCACTACATAACTCGACGCAATTTATTTGTTTAAGATTTCGACGAAAAATGCAGCTTTTACGAGAATTAATTTTGGTTCTATAAAGAGGATGTATTAAAAATTGGGCCAAATGATCTGATACCGTAGAAGTAAAATTACCGGCAAAAATATTTGTAGAAGTTGCATTAGAAAATATGTTATCAATTAGAGTTTTGGAGTGATTTGTGATTCTTGTTGGCAATGAAATAAAGGGAAGAAAGTTATTTAAAGCAATAGTGTCTAAAAATTCAGAGACAGAATTATCTGAGTTTGCTAATAAAAGATCGACATTAAAATCGCCTATTAAAAAAGTAGTTTTGTTTTTTTCCATAGATAGCTTTTCAAAAAGTGGAATTAAATATGATTTAATAAATTCTGAAATATCCATACTAGGATGGCGATAAATACAGCCAATAATGATGTTTGATTTTTTAGGAATTATGATTTCATCATTAAAAGTTTTGGTTTAAGCATATTAAGATCATATCGAAGTTTATAAATTAATGTATTCGATATATAAAGTAAAGCTCCTCCAAAATAAGATTTTGTTGGAGTGTGCTCATAAACATAACCGGTAAAATTTAATGGGATAGTTGGTAAAATGTCATGTTTTAGTTTAGTTTCAGTTATGCCAATAATACTGAATTTATGATTAATAAGAGATAAAAGTGAGTTTAATTCGTCAAAATTTTTAACAAGAGAAGCAATATTTAAATGAAAAAGAGAAAAATTATTTTTGTCGATGTTAGAAGAGTTAAAACTTTCTATGTCCATATATTTACAATTAATAGGGTATTCTTCGAGGTTTACGTCATTGTTGTTATTAAGTTGATGGGAAATAAAATCATTAAGTTCATTATAAAGATTAGGCTGTATGGTGTTTGGGAAAGATGATATGTTGTTTTCGAATTCATTAATATGAATCACTTTATCATTTATTGTTTGCAGGTGCAGCTCCTTATCTGATAAAGTACTGAATGGAAAAATTTTTTCCCTACATGAAATACAGAACCAAGATGTTTTAGAGTTTTTCAATATTCTAAATTCAATATCATTCAGACGACAACATTTTTTATGAAAAAGGTTTAGGCAATGATAACATTGAAGGTAGTGATGGTTTTTATTAATTTTCTTGAAGCAATCTTTGCAGTGAGTAGACATTTAAGTGGTACAGTTTATATAATAAAGTGATTGAATGAACTGAAATAAGGAAACAAAGAGTAATATGAACAGCAATATAACCAAAAATAATAAAAATAATAATAGTATTTATTAACAATATAAATATAATTCAATTGATAAAATAGTAAAACAAAAATATTTATTTAACAGTTAAAATAAATAATGAAAAAATACTATTAATATAGTAAAAGAAGAATAACGTAAATATATATTAAAAAAAGTTATAATTGGTTAAATGATAAGTTGTAAGTATAAATTAAAACAATTTATATTAAAATAATAATAAACTATAAATGATTATAAGTAAAATATTATAGTTATAATAAGTGGAAAATATAATAATAAACTATTAAGTCTATGCTTAGTATTATAAGTTAATAAGTAAAACTATAGTAACTAAGCTAACAAACTATATAGATATATAAAAATAATAATAGTAATAATACTAGTAGCAATAATAACTATTATAACAACAATATAAAAAAAACAATAATAAGTATATATAATAATAAACAGTATAAGAAAAAAAAGAAAAAATTAATAAAAAAAAGCAAGAAAAGCTAGAAAAAAAATAAATAATAATATTCAAAAATAAGAATAATTACATTAAATTAAAAGGGTATTTTAAGATAAACAAACTAAATTCTTTTAAAGTTTCACTACAATCTTCCGGCACTACAATCTTCCGGCACTTATGCATTCCTGATCTTTTCAGGGAGGTCTTAAATTCTAACATAAAATATCGTAAGTACTTGAATTTTGATAGTGATCTTACAGTGAGTACTTTAATTATGACATATCTTGATTGGTAAAAGACCTTTTTTTGCTGAGTAGTAGAGTCCTTTAACTAATATCAACAATCAGAGAGAGAGAGAGAGAGACAGAGAGACAGAGAGAGAGACAGAGAGAGAGAGTAAGAGACATAACAATCAAAGAATTAAGTAAAAAAATTTACATGTGGTTGTTGAAAAATTTAATTTGTTGGGAAAAATTCAATGGAAAATTCAATAACAATTCCTTCAAAAGAATATATTTTGGAACATTAAACCACTACCTATTAAGCCGCAAGCCAGACTATTAAACCACTACCTATAAAAGCCGCCATTAAACCAACCCATTAAATCACAATCTTTTAAATAACAATTCCCAAAAAGAAGAAAAAGAAAAACTTATTAAATAAGTTTGGGTTTTCAAAAAAATTTTAATCTCTCCTTATCAAAACCAAATAATTTATACAGCAGTTGTTAACTAGTTGATGATGTAACACTTTGAAAAAAAAAGAATATTAAACTCAGTTATTTTTCACCTTTTATCAATACCTTACAATTTCAACCAATACCAAAAAATATTACCCTGTCCATGGTTAAGGCTTCAATGTCCAAATGAGCTTGTCGTAATATTTCTCCTCCAGGTGTTTCATAAATGCCTAAAATTTACCATAATTAAATTAGTAATAATACTAATAATTTCACTTTTTCCAAGATTGCCAGAGTAAACTTTAGTTTACTTAAACTTTACTTTTCCTTTACTCATTTTTTTTATTAACTATTATTATTGGGTTTGGTAAAGTTCTTTAAAATAATTTTTATAAGCTAATCTTTTAAAATATGTTAAATAGAGTATCAATAAAATGTTACATCATTTTATAATTATATCAACAATTCAAATTTTGCAGTTAATTTTATTTAAAGCAACCACAATAGGCCAGCTATGGACAAAAGTCAAAATTTTGAAATGATCCAATCTGTCTAAAAATCATATACAATGTTCTATATATATATATCTAAATTTGTTGTTAAATAACTCTTAATCATCTTCCAGAACAGCTTTATAATAATTTGGTGGAAAGTTGACAAATTTTTTCATAATTTTGAATAAGAAATAATCCTTATTAAGCCTTAATAAGGATTATTTCTTATTCACATCCTTAATTTAGGGCTTAATAAGGATGTGAATAAGAAATAATCCTTATTAAGGCTTAATAAGGATTATTTCTTATTCACATTCTTATTAAGCTTTAATTTAAGGATGTGAACAAGAAATAATTTGAGTGTGAATAAGAAATAGTCCTTATTAAGGTTTAATAAGGATTATTTCTTATTCACATTCTTACTTAGCTTTAATTTAAGGATGTGAATAAGAAATAATTTAAGAGTGTGAATAAGAAATAATCCTTATTAAGCCTTAATAAGGATTATTTCTTATTCACATCCTTATTAAGCTTTAACTTAAGGATATGAATAAGAAATAATTTAAGAGTGTGAATAAGAAATATTCCTTATTAAGGATGTGAATATGAAGTTTTTTTATTTTGGCAAAAATGATGGAAAGAACAAAAATTCTTATTAAGGATTAATAAGGACATATAAGGATTAATTTAAGGATGTGAATTATTAATTTAAGGACCTTAAATTAATTATTCACATCCTTAAACTAATCTTTATATATAGGCTTAATAATCCTTATTAAAACTTAATAAGGATTAATAAGGATATATAAGAATAATAAGGATAAATTTCACTTTTAATTTTATATTTAGAATTCGAATAAGGACCTAATTCGATTCTAAATATGAAATCGAAAAATAATTTTTAAAATATTAATAAATTAAAAATCTTAACTTTTTTTAAAGGCATTCTCTGAATTGGACTCTGGATTGTTTATCAAAACTGAAGTTTGGTTATAGGCTATAATCTATCTATTCAATAGACTATTGTGATTACAGATTGGCGAAAAATCATATCAACTTCAAAGGTTTAAAAGGTTTAAATAATTAGACCTTTTAAACCTACTTCCCTTAATTTTTAACATAACCTCAAACATTTTGTATTTTAAAACTTTTATTTATTGAAAGCAAATTTTATTGATCCATCCCTTGTTTTCTTTGTTTTGAGTTACTTTAATTTAGGTTTACTTTTAATTTTAGCTTACAAATTACTGCTGGAAATACCATTTGATACTGCCAAGAATATATTGGAATTTTTAAATATTAGAATTATAGAAGTTTGAGTAACAGAACTTGAAAAAACATCATTAGCAGTTTTCAAGTTTAAATCAGAAAATAAACTTTTAGAAGCAGAAACATCTTCTAGAATTTGTTCCAGAAGATGTTTGGCTAGAAGTAGGGATAGAACAATTAACAGAAGGTAGCAAATCATTAAGATTGTTAAATCATGCGAGATTGACTTTTTATTTTAACTATCTGTATTTCCAACAAGGCTGGAAGCAACTACTTTTAGAGTTAGTAGTTACTGGTAGACCCAAGGTAAAGATTATAACGATTAACAGATGACAATATAAATTGCAAATTATATGAATCAGGAAAACAAGATGAATGGAGAGTATTGAAAAAAAAAACTGTTATTTATTTTATTATTATATTATCGTATGCAAATACTAACTTTCCATGAGAGATCAGTACAAAAAGATAATCAAAGACAATGTAAATTAGAAGACACAGTAAAAATGTTGCCATTTTATTGATCCCTTATTTTCTTGGTTTTGAGTTACTTTTATTTAGGTTTACTTTTAATCTAAGCTTCCAAATTATTGCTGGAAATACCATTTGATACTGCCAAGAATATATTGGATTTTTTAAATATTGAAGGTGGTATTATTTCCTTAAAGCACCCGAATTTTGTATTAAGAAATACCCACTTTTTACAAGTTTGCAAAGAAAAAGATGAACATGACTTAACATGGCCAAATCTGTCAGAATTCTTTACAAATTACTTCCACTAAATACCCTTTAACTAAAATAATGCTTGCAATGTGCCCTAAAAAGTCAAAAAACTATGCTGTAAAATTGAATCGGGCAAAAAATTTTGATTTAAAGAATTATTATTTAAACCTTGTTCTTTCCTTTTATCCTGAAGTTCCTTATGTTGGTGATTTGCTACCTTCTGTTAATTGTTCTATCCCTACTCCTGTCCACAATAGTGAAGTTGTTCCAAATCAAGTTACTGATTTTATATCTTCTGATTTAAGGTTAAACATTGCTAATGATATTTTTTCATGTTTTATTACCCCAACTGCTATTATATGCAACCCTTTAACAAATGATTCAGTTAATTGCCTTAAAAAACTCAAAATTCAATTTTAAAAACTCAGAGACAGTGTAAAGTAGAAGGCACAGTAAAAATGTTGCCATTCATCAATATAAGAATATCAACAAGATTACAAAGACTTTTTAAAGACTTCGCCTTTTTTAAGACTTCGCCTATCTAATTATAATTTCAAACCTTTCTGTAATGACAGTTAACAGGTAAGCTCCAAAACAAGATGATTCAAATCCATATGCTTCTAATCTCATCAACAAATAGGGCCACCTGTGAGCTTTTCAGTATGATCATTAATGTTGCTTTTCACCTGTGAGTATTTCAGTATGATCATTGATGTTCGTTAGAAACGGTAAAGGACTGAGGATTGAAGTTGACCTTGTTAGCTAAGTATTGACACTAGTGTGAATTCCAGCATTTAGTGCCACTGGGTCTATATGTTTTGTGATTGTGATGTTATTGTTGGATGTTTTGTGTTCATAGACAACTTGGCTTACCTTCTCGCTGGTGTCTATTGTTAAAAAAGATTATTAGGTTGTTTTGTTACTTCTACTTGCTACTTCTAATCATTCACTAAAAGCCAAGAGATAAGTTTTAGAATAACAACATTTTTTGTTTTAATGTTGTTTTTGTTTTTGTTACCTTAGGTGTTGTCAATTGCTCACATAAACAATCTCAAAGAGTAAGTTTTATATTTTAGTTTTATTTAGTTTTAATTGTTAATTTTTAATTTTGTTTTAATTTTTAAAACGGATTAACAAATATTTTTTTGAAATTATTGTGTATTTGTGTTTTTAATAATAACTTTATTACATTTTTAGGTAGAGTTTCTGCTGTTACACCTGCTATTGCTGATGTAAGTACTAAAAATTTCAGAAAGTTCTATTGCTGTAAATTATTTTCATTTAAATTTAAATTTTAACTTTATTAAAGATTCTTCTGTCTGTTAAATAGGTAATTCTGAATGATTCAGATAGATTTCAATGCCCTGACGTGATTTACTAATCAGTCTGTAAATTAAGCAATAGTTTTAAACAGATAAATTAATTGGATTCTACGATCCTTTATGCATATTTGCATGGAGTTTTTATAATGTAAACTGAAATTTTACAATTTTAAATTCAGTCTGTAAAATAAAAGATTCTGTATGATCCCGAAAGATTTAATAAAAAATGGATCACTATTTAAAATTTCAAATCAAATGTAGTAACGGTTTAAATATATCAAATGTATTTAAAGTCGATATGCCCAATTGGTTTGTACATCCCTTTGTCTGTAATTTACTGACCCTTCTGTAACTTATGCAATAATTTCACTGACAGGTCTGTAAATTATGCAACAGTTTTCATATGATGTATTATTTGGACTGTCCGTGATTTCTTAATGCATATAGCATAGTGTAACTCTAATTTTGTTCCTCATAACACAATTAAATAAGTAGAAACCCTGTCTGTAAAATAAACAATACTGGATAATCTTGACAGATTTAATAAAAACTGGATCACTATTTAAAATTTCAAACGTAATAACGGTTAAAAAATATCAAAAATAAAAAAAATATATATCAAACTATTTAAAGTTGATACGTTCAATTTGTTTGTACAGCCCATTTTCAGCAATTTACTGACCGATCTGTAATTTATGTGATTATTTTACTGACCAGTCTGTAAATCAGGCAATAGTTTTCAAATGATGTATTTTTTGGATTCCATGATTCCTTTAAGCATATTTGCATGGTATAATTATAATATGACCCCAAATTTTATTCTCCAAAACTAAGAAAACAATATAAAAACCTTCAGGCTGTAAAATAGATGATTCTGGACAATCGTGACAGGTTTTTTTAAAAAAAAATTTTTGTTTTTTATTTTCTTATAGTTGTTGATCACTATGAAAAATTTCAAGTCAAATATAATAACGATTCAAAAGTTATTAAAAACTCAGAATGACCCCAAAAATATATAAATTAGTAAAAACTCTCAGTCTGTAAAATAGGTGATTCTGGACAATCCTGACAGATTTAAAAAAAAATTTTGGAATTTTCTTTTCTTTTAGTTGTTGGATCACTATAGAAAATTTCAAGTCAAATGTAATAACAATTCAGAAGTTATTCAAAAGTCAATAAAACTCTCATTTTCGGTGCAAATTTCTCATACTTAAGTCGTATACCTTTTGTCAAAAAATAACCTATTTTTTTACTACAAAATGTTCAATAACTTTTGATCTGTTTAACTTCAAAGGCCAAACGACCCCTCATTTTTTAAGTCAAGCCAAGCTCTATATAATAAAATCAATTATTCTTGAATATTTTTTTTATAAAAAAATTGTCTTGAGTGGCTATCAGAGAAGAAAAACTTAGAAAAGAAAATATCAGAACGGAAAAACTTAGAGAAGACAATATCAGAACGGAAAAACTTAGAGAAGACAATATCAAAACCGAAAAACTTACAGAAGGCAATATCAGAATGGAAAAACTTAGAGAAGACAATTTTCGAACAGAAAAACTTAGAGAAGAAAATGTTAGAATTCTAACTATGAAGAGATAGATTGTCAGATTTTTATGAGTCATTTCAATTGCCATCATTTTAATGCTTATTTTCTTGAATTCTCATGCTTTAATATTAGATTTAGACAGGCTTATTAACTCAAAATATTGAAGGCTGATTGCTACTACTTCCACCCTTCCAACCCCCCTCACCCACATACTGTATTGGATTAAATTTTTCCATATTAGGTTAAAACTGTTATAAAAATAAAAATAGATGAGATTTTAAAAACTTTTTTAAAATACTTGGCAAAAAACAATAATCAAATAAATAACCTTAAAACAACAACAAACAAACTAGATTAAACCAAAGTTTACTATGGTTGACTCAGGAGAATACAACGCATTGTTATTGTTCAACTATTAGTGTTCATAATTATACATATATTGCATTATTATACAACATAGTGTTATTTAAGAGTTATATTAACATTGATATTATTAAACAATATTCTAATTTCATATTCTGTTTATCTTCTTACACACAAAAAAAAAAAAAAATTAGCAAACAATTGAAAAAACTTAAGGAAGACCTCTAGACTTGATACCAATCATTCTATTTTCAACTATGTCAATTCGACCAACACCATGGAAACCACTAAAATAGATTGTTAAAAATATTTAATCTATTTTAGATAAAAACTTTAATATAACTCAAATATTTTCCTTTTTCAGTTTTGTTTAATCAAATTTCACATTTAAACAAATATAAAATTTAAACAAATTTTAAACACAATTCTCACACAACAAGAACATTTAAAATGATTAATATTACCCAATTTTGTTGAGATATAAATAAATTTCTAAAGGGTTTGTATAGCATTCACAATCTTTTAAGTTTTTAACTGATATTGGTTTCCCTAAAAAAAAATTTTTTATTATTATATTTAATTTCATATTTGTTTAATTATGTTCCTGAAGTATAAAAATTAAAAAATATAAGATAAATATTTAATAAAATTTATTAAAAATAAATGTTACCATTTTTAAATTGAATTTCAATTTTGTCAGGCTAAAAAATAAAACTTTTATAACAAAACACTGTAGTAATATATCATTAGGTTATAGAAAATGATGCAAGGATAAATTAAACACAATCCTACTACAAATATTAGTTTAAAAAAAAGTAATTTGATTTATTACATCAAACTTAATTGACACCAAACTCAATGGATAGAATTTGAATGAAGCAGATTATACAAAAGATAAGAAAAACCTTTTTCTTTATTTTTTTAAAAATATTATTTTCTGTTATTTGTATATGAATATTTTTATTTGAATATATTATTTTTTGTTATTTATATGTGAATATTTTTATTTGAATACACTGTTATTTTTTGTTATTTATGTGAATATTTTTATTGTATAAAACTCACTAACTATAGTAATTATTTTTTTTATAAATATGCAAATTTGTAACAAGTGAGTATGTTAAATATGACTACATTATAATTAGAATATAAAATAAGAATTATAACATATATATATATATATATATATATATATATATATATATATATATATATATATATATATATATATATATATATATATATATATATATATATATATATATATATATATATATATATATATATATATATAATAAAATATAAGATAACAGAAAATTCTGATAATTTGGCAATATCACAACAAAATTGATGACAACTTTACATGAAAATTTGAGCCAATATTTTTATTAGTAGTACCTTAACAACAGTGTAGTTATATATAGCTACAACTACTTTTCAGCCTATGACTACTAGAATAGACTATTTTAATTTTAGATATTTTTAAAACAGAATGGTACAAGAGCATATGATAAATACTAATTACTTAGTTTGTCGATGCAAGAAAATATTCTTTTAAAAATTAAAATGAAGCATTTATTTTAACTTTTTGGTTGTTTATAAATATATGAAAATAAATACAATTTGAAAACATCATTTTCAAGCCATATCATTTTTTACCTTCTTAGATAATAGCTCTTAAATCAAAATTTGAAATTGTAAAATTATTGCTCGTTAAAAATAATTTTTTAATAAATAATTATTGTACTTTAAACCTAATTAACTTAAGAATTATTTCTTAATCTTACCTCATTTGGAGATTCCTCAGGATTTGTTGACATCTGATAAATATTGGGTGGTCCTTCTACCTAAAATAAGGATTTTTTAACTAATAATTTGTTAATATACAATTTTTCACATAATGGAAGCAATAGGTAATCTCAATAATGCGAATAATAAAAGCTAATATCCAATTATGATATTAAATTGAAAATTAATTATAAAGTTAATTTGATGGCTGCAAATTTTTTTTAAAAAAAATATTTAGTTTTCTGAATTCTAAAATAAATTATAAAAGAAAAAAAATAAATTTATAATGCAAAAATTTCAATTTATATGTTTTTATTTGTTTATGATAAAAACAAAATATTAATAAAAACTAATTTTTTGATTGGCCGTATTTAAAAACTTAATGTAAAAAGTAAAAAAAAAAAGTTGATAAAAATTTATTAACTCATAAAATTAAAAAATAATCTTACATTCGGATCTTCGAGAATACCTGATTCATAACTAAAAATATATATATATTTATATATGTATATATATTTATCTATATATCTATATATATCTATATATCTATATATATCTATATATATCTATATATATATATCTATATATATATCTATATATTTATATATATATATATATATATATATATATATATATATATATATATATATATATATATATATATATATATATATATATATATATATATATATATATATATATATATATATATATATATATATATATATATATATATATATATATATATATATATATATATATATATATATATATATATATATATATATAACGAAGAAAAAACAACTTTTTCTTCGTTATATAACGTTATATATATATATATATATAACGAAGAAAAAACAACTTTTTCTATGGTACTTTAAGTTTCGTGCCTATACTGCAACCATCAGCCATTGAATACAAAATCAAAAACAAAAAACCCGCTAAAAATTACAAAATACTGGGTAGTGGGATCATAATGTTGCTAAGACACACATGATGGCAACCAAAGAAAAAACTAAATATTAGCTAATCACCGGTGTCAAAAAAAGATAAAAAGAATTTATTCTTGTGTCTGTATTTTGAAATCAACTCATTTCGTTTATTTAATAAGTTATTACCTTTATATGTTAAAATGAGGAATTTTTCGAATAACTAAAGGTTGCAAATTTTTGACGAGGCGTTATAAGTATTGCAACGTTTTACAATTTTCCACTCAATTAAGGGTGCAAACATTTTGTCTTTTATGTCCCAAATTTCTTTAGACAACTCTGTATCATTTTTATATTTATTAATGTTAAAAGATTTTAGGTGATTCGCATACCGAGATTTGAATGGAGTTTCACATAGGCCAAAATATATTTTTTCTTTGTAGTCAGGTTTATTTAACGACACAGTGGCTTAATAAACGATGTTTTTTGTCAAGCACTGATTGTTCATGGGACAGATGGATTTGTTGACACAGTTGCATGTTTTTCCCTCATCTTTAACTTGGCTATATAATATTCTGTGGTTGTGCGAATTAATGATCGACTTGATATTTGGCATACATGAGTAGCTTATTTTAATGGTATTTTGATTAAATATCTAACAAAGTTTGTGACCAACCGGAAAATGTAGGTCTACCATGCTCAAAAAACAACTGCCTATTTTTGTTGCAACATTGGTACCAAAAGGTGGGTTATACCAGATTATGTTTCGCTTGTAATTTTTAAATTGGATCGGCTTTTTATTTGAATGGTAAGTGAATTTGCAGACAAAACCTGATTTAGATAATGCATCTTGATAAAGAGGAATGGGTTGTTTAAAAATATTTTCGTTAGAAGAATTGCTTGACAATCTTAGTTCGATAGTTTGAGGAAGGCTTTTTAGTATACTAGGAGGGTGGTTAGAGTCAGCATTTATATAACTGATGGAATTACCAGGTTTGCAGTAAGGTTGGAAAGAACTGTCATTAAAATTTAACATTAAGTCCAGATAATTAACAACTTCAAAATTACAGCTGATGGACATTATTTTTAAAATTTTCACAAAGTGATTTTTAATTTTTTCTATCTGTTGACCGCTCTGCTTGTTAAACACTGCTAAACCATCATCTCTATACAACCCGAATTCATCTTTACTGCAAGATTGCAATAATTGAAACAAGAGAAATATTCCAACTAACTCACAAACTTCTGCGCCATCAAAGGCTCCCATGGTTACATCAAATAAACCTCATTTAGACTTCACCATTGTTGAATAATAATGATTTTCTGGCGTGATGTAACAACCTTTTTTCATCTTGTTATATAATTAAGTATTTTTCAACAAATGTTATAGCGTTGTTTAGTAAATTTTCATTAATTGAAGGATAAAAATTAGTTATATCAAAAAATAAGAACTTGTATAAATGTTTTTCTTTAATATTTTGAAACCAATCTATAACATTCTGTAAGATTAGCCATTAGTTGACGCAAACTTTTTTTTTTTAAAAAAACAAAGAGAAAAAAAAAAAAGAAAAAAAGTTTACACCCTTAACTAAGTGGAAAATTGTAAAACGTTGCAATACTTATAGCGCCTTGTCAAAAATTTGTAATCTTTGCTTATTCGAAAAATTCCTCATTTTAACATATAAAAGTGATAACTTATTAAATAAACAAAATGAGTTGATTTCAAAATGCAGACACAAGAACAAATTCCTTTTATCTTTTTTTTAAAAGCAGTGATAAGCTAATATTTAGTTTTTTCTTTGGTTGCCATCAAGTGTGTCTTAGCGACGTTATGATTCCACTACACAGTATTTTGTAATTTTTAGCAGGTTTTTTGTTTTTGATTTTGTATTCAATGGCTGATGATTGCAGTATAGGCATAAAACTTAAAGTACCATAGAAAAAGTATATATATACATCTATATATATATATATATATATATATATATATATATATATATATATATATATATATATATATATATATATATATATATATATATATATATATATATATATATATATATATATATATATATATATATATATATATATATATATATATATATATATATATATATATATATATATGTATATACACTTACTACAGCGTGTTTTAATAAGCATTTGCTCACTTTTTCTGCTTACCTTAAGCTATACCGTTTTTTTCAAAAAAGAAGAAGAAAAAACGAAAAATGATGAATAAAACGAATGCTTCCCCTTCCCAAACCCTCAGTCGATGTAGCAGCACTCCGCTGCGAGTCAGGCTATTTGTCAGTTGATGTATGTACTAAAGCCCCCAGCAGCAGGCTATTTCAGTATGACGATATGTATGTGTGTATATATATATATATATATATATATATATATATATATATATATATATATATATATATATATATATATATATATATATATATATATATATATAGGGTGGAGCAATTTTCATAGCAAAAAAAGTTGAAACTTTTTTTTTTCATAGCAAAAAACTAGAAAATTTTTTTTTTTTCTAGACTACTTCAGGTTCCTCCAGAGGATTGAATCTTAGAAAAACATAGATTTATTTAATTTTCATATTCTTCCTAGTTTAATATTGTTTTGGTACTATTTGATTTCTCAGAAAAGTGACTTCTAAACGTTAAATTTATTATGGAAAACAAAATAAAAGTTAATTTAAACAAAAAAAGACAGAAAATAAGAGAAAAAATTGTTAAAAAGAGACTTTACTTTCTCAACTTTTGATAACAACTTCAACGCTCACCTATTGCTCATAGCAACAGCATATTTATTGTATAGCTTTAATTACAGTAAATATATTAACAGTAAAAAAAGATTTAAACTGATGAAAAATTAAAATTAAAAACAGATCATTTAATAAAAGTTAAATACAATTGAGGTCCCTATCATGAGAGACTATTGATCCACTCATCTAATTTATGCTTGTTAGTCCTTGCTTTCGGCAATTTTTTAAGGCTTCACTTTTGCAATTTTTGTAATTTTGACTTTTTATTTTTGACTTTTTTTACTTTTCATACTTAAACTCTTATTTTTAAAAAATGTTGACATAAAATGAAATAAGTTACTCTTTAATTTTGTTGATTATTAAGAAATAGTGGGTAAAATCAGATGTAATAATACAAAAATTGTGAGTAGAATCGAATGATCTGCATTGACGAAAGAAGAATATAACCTTGGTAAAACTTAAAATTTTTTGTTTTAAATTTTTTTTTTATTATCAAATATTTTTTTTAGATATTTTTACCAATAAAAATAAAAATAAAATATTTTGTCTAATCACTAACAGAGTTCCATATAACAAAACTACAGTCCCATGGAAGTTATAAGCAGTGGTGTACGACTTGTTTTCTTGTAATTTAGTGAACGGGGATTCTGGGATGTCTAGTAAAGCCAGATTTATAAACAATAATATTTATGTAAAGACGTTTTGGCAGATTCGTAAAGAATAATGCTTTTGAAAAAATGGTATAACTTATTTTAAACAAAAATGCTTTAATAAAATATAGTAGCAATTTTTGTTTACTTAAAAGTCAAATGTTTTATTTAAAAACGATTTATGTATTATTAGTATAATTAAAATTATACTGTATACAGTATTGGACAAAACATTTGCAACCAACATCAAACAATGCTAAAAAATGTTCCTGGTTTTACATCTCTTAAAAACCACAGGAAAGATGAGGATGCGGCCTTCCACCTCTCTAGAAGTGGTGGAATACCGCATTCCACCACTTCTAGAGAGAATTCTATGATCATCAGATCCGTCAAGAAGGATCCCTGATATGAGTTGAGATACAAAAGCAATTAGAGCTGCCTGTATCGGACCGAACAATCAGACGACATGCTGTTGAAGTCGGATTGTTTTCTCAACGCCCTGCAAAGAAACCGCTGATTTCACTAAAGAACCAGAAGAAAAGACTCCTGTTTGCTACATCTTATACTGACTGGAATGTGCAGAAATGGCCAACTGTCCTGTTCAGTGATGAATCGAAGTTCAACATCATTGCGAGCGATGGCATTTGCCATGCACGTTAACCGGCCGGAAAACGCCTTGATTTACGTTATTGCCATAAGACCGTAAAACATGGTGGAGGCAATGTAATGGTCTGGGGGTGTTTTTCTGCTAACGGTCGAGGTTCAATACATCGAATCGATGGAATAATGGACCGTTTCATGTATAAAAATATCCTGAAAGATGTTATATTACCTCATGTTGAATGGAATATGCCAATAAAATAGGTTTTTCAGCAAGACAACGATCCGAAACACACTGCAAAAGTAGTCAAGCAGTGGTTTCAAGAGAACCACCTATCGGTGATGGATTGGCCACCTCAACCCCTGGATCTCAACCCTATCAAGAACCTGTGGGAGATTGTCAACCGCAGAATTAATCGTGAAGGTGTTTGTAATAAGGATCAACTGTTTGAACAAATCCAAAAGGCCTGGGCAGCGATTCCACAAAGTTTCATTGATCACCTGATCGAACCTATGCCT